GAAAGATTGGGGCTGCTTGGGGGTAAAGAAATTTTGAATTCAGTTTTTAAATTGTATCATCTCGAATCCGCCTTTTTTATTGGAATATCAGTTAAAATGATAGTTTTATAATCCTTTAAGAGGCTGTGTTTACACACTTACCTTTAATGAAATAAACCAGAATTCTTAAATCATTATGATTTTTACAAGTTTATCTATGGAAGAGAAAGGAATTTTTTCAGAACGATCTTTAATTTCTCGCGAAAAAACCCTCACCCTGAAAAATAGGATGCTGTTTCCAGTCCAAGCTGTGGAAAATCTTTTGTTTAATGTCTTCAAAATTATAACAGTGATTTGAGTTAGCATGGTAAAAAGTGTGCCATTTGAAAACATTTATATCATGCCTGTGATTAGACTAGTAAGTTTGTGTTTTAAGATTTTCTAACTTTTCTAATTGTATACTGCCTTTTGCACCGAAAATAACAATATTTTGCAATAAATAAAAAGTGCAGGGCTTTGCGGGGAGCCTTATCGATGATTATGAAATATTAATTGCAAAAACCAGATTTCGCTTCTTCTATTCCTCCTCCTTAATATTTACCTTTAAGAGGCCAACTTGAAGTCAAATGTTTCAATTTTGTCCGTTTCTTAACCGCCACTGCAAGATAACTATTCCTCTAAGAATGTTTTTGAATGTAGTTTGATTACATCAACCTAATTCTTGGGCAGTTTATTTTTCTCAAAGGTCCCTTTTTACAACACTGAGCAACTTTTTTTTTTTTTTTTTTTTTTTTTTTTTTTTACACTTTTTGGCGCCGAGAAGGGAGAAAGTGAAAAGACCAATGTTCTTCGATTTCCTGTAAAATTCCGAATTTTGTTTCGAGAGTGTTCTTGGAAATTTGGACATCTACCCCCCCCCCCCCCCAAAAAAAAAAAAGTTTCAGATTTTATATTATGTCCAAAGGGGCGTTTTTTTTAACGTTTTGTGTGTTACCTTTATTTATTAAATATCATGTTCTTTGCACTTAAAACATAAAATTCAGTTCAATAGCAATGTCGCAAAATAATTTTCAAATGAGCCTATCTTTAGAATTTCCGATACACAGTTCCGCGCGCTAAAGATAAAAAAGTCTTTTTTTTTTCTTTTTTTTTTTTTTTTTTTTTTTTTTTTCCCGTAGAGTGTTGCCATTGCTCGCTTTGAAATTGTTGAGTTTGCTACTCAAAAATTCGTTATAAAGTTTTAGAAAATATGAAATCGATAATAAAACAAATTTCAGATTTGGGCTTTCACATGCCCATATTCGCAGTAGGATTACGTCATTCAAAATTCGATGGTTCTATGTACCGTCGTTTTATCGCAATGCGAGAAATATACGTACATTTATGCATATTTTTCATTATTTAATTTCTTCAAATATAATGCAGGACTCTAACATTTGGTGGCAACAGTTTGAAAAGTGAAACGAACATTTATATGTGATTCAACGCAAAATCGCAAAAGGAAAACAATAGTCCTTCAGGAACAAAGCGCCTTTGGACGCCAGTATTATGTACGCATTTGACTTTCGGGTTTTTTTTTTTTTTTTTTATTTTTAAATTTATTTATATGAGAAGAAAGTAAAATTAATTATTTTTCGCATCCTTACGTAGCTTAGGAGATATTAGCATACTACCTGGCAAAGCAGAATCTATATAAATTATAGTTCTGGACTTCAAGGATTCAACTGTTAACGATTTAGGTTAGGTTTATGTGATTACGGCAAAGCCCTAGGGCTATATGCCTAAGGGGAGGGATGCCTTCATGGAAGACTTTCTAAAAGAGAACCTGGCTCGTATACACACAACTCTTAACGGAACATGTGTTGTTGATTATAAACTAGTATTCCTCCTGATTTTCTGAGGAACTATGTAAAACTCTAATAGTTTGTTCATGTTAGAATATGAACAAAAAAGGACCGACGAGAATTGGCTGTGTATGTGTATACTGCAGAACTCGTTTCAAAAGTTTAACAGTATCTTCTGTTCAGCTGTTAATAAGTTCTCCTTCCTTTTCCTGACTTCTTAGTTACATTTTCCTTTTTCATAGTATATCCCCACTCTTGCGTATATCTTCTTTCACTTACTATCTTTCCCATTTTTCATTAGCTACCGGGAAGTACTGTACTGTCAAGCCACTGAAACGGTATTTACATACTGTACGCCAATTCTTTTTATTTTTACTTATTTATTTATTTATTTTTACAAAATTATAATCCTTTTCCTGATTAATTTTATTTGCCATATCTTCATCTCTGATTCTTGTGAATGTTTGTAAGTAGAGATAGCTTAACACGCTCAACAGCTCTTCTGTTTCTTTATAAAGTTACACTTTTTTCGAAGTTCTGCAATTGCCTTTATTTTATTTTTTTCAGATTTTAGCTGGTATATAATAAATACTTCTTCAAAATTATTTCCCATTTTTTGATGGTCGGCTTTAAAAGATGTGACTGTAACTGCGAATATTATTTTGCCAGGCGTAATTTTACATGTTAATATCTTTTCAAATATTAAAAACAAAAAAAAGGGGGCAAAACGTCCTGCATGAATTTCATATGAGATTGTTCTTTTGTTTGTATCCACCATTCTGCCCATAACGTGTCATAAACATGTCTTTTTTATTTGGCTCTTTTTTTTTTTTTTTTTTTTTTTTAATTTTTGGACTTACAGGAAGGAAAAAGATGCAAGAAACCAATGTCAAAATAATATTCTTGTAGGGAGAACGCGACATGTTTCCGGTTTATTTTAACACATGCATTATTTGACTTTCTTCTTAAAATCGGTTTTCTGACTTAATTGATTTCTGAGACAACTATGTTAAATATTCTTTGTGTGTTCCCCTCTCTTTGTGGTTATGAAAGAATAGAATATCTGAAGACTCTGAAATCTTATAATTTCATTTTTAAATTCTGCCGGATGTAAATTCTTTTTAACTCTTGTATGAAACCATTTATAACTTAATCGTTGTTTACAATTTTATTTAAGAATGAAAGTTATTATTTTCCTATTTTTTAGTAATGTTATTAATTTGTTGTTAGTGATTTTGTTAAAGTTTTCCAGGAGCTGTATTTAAAATAGATGTGATATTTAACTAACCTTGAAGTAATTAAAAGTTCTGAAAGTTTTCCGATATATGAAATTGACCTAGTGATCTGATTTATGTTTGGAATGTTCACTCAGAAGCTGAATTATAATAGCACTTCCGGTTTATTAATTCTAAACTTGCAGACTACATATTTAGACTGAGTAATCTCCCATTAAATTATGAAATGGCATTTATAAGCGATAATCAAGTCTAATTCGTTTAAAAATTTCCATGGACAGAAGTTTTTCTTTTCTTTTCTTCTTTTTTTTTTTTTTTTTTTTTTTTTTTTTTTTTTTTTTTTTTGTGTGTGTGTGTGTGTGTGTGTTTGTGTGTGTGTGTGTGTGTGTGTGTATTTTAAGGGTTCTCTTAACACTTTACCGACTGCTAGCGGTTCAATAGCATCCGCACGTCCGACCAGCCGCTCAGCCGCAGATTCTTCATGTTCTAAATAACTGTCAGGACAATCTGATAAATCGTCTAAATAAAACTCTCCAATACCATTTTTTTCGCTCATCGTGAACGGTAATGCTTTTTTAAAAACGGTGTGAAAATGTGGGAGTTTACGAAGCAACGCATTTAACGCAAGTGAGCAATGTACCTCAATACTAATAATAATATTGCAGATGATATAGCAAATGGCAATTGTTTATCGCCATGGCTACCGAATAATAGGCTATTTTGAGAAAAAAACGATTAATAGGCTATCGGTCGATAGGCGTTGACGAAAAAAAGCCGATTAATAGGCGATCGGTCGGTAGACGTTGGTGATAAAAAGCCGTTTAATAGGCGATCGGTCGGTAGACGTTGGCGATAAAAAGCCGATTAATAGGCGATCGGTCGGTAGGCGTTGGCGATAAAAAGCCGATTAATAGGCTATCGGTCGGTAGGCGTTGGCGATAAAAAGCCGATTAATAGGCGATCGGTCGGGAAAGTGTTAAGAGGTTAAAGTCACCTTATACTACTAGTTCTACTTTCTATATGTCTGAACAAAACCAAGACATTTGTGGGTTTAGGTTATAAAAAAGACGATGACTGTCGAGTGCTGTACTGTGATAAATCACAAACAACCTATATTTACTTCTTTAAGATAAATGCATGCCAATTTTCCAATTACTTTGTAGTGTCTCCAGTTTGAGTAGAGCTGATAAATAGTATGTTGATATATTCTTGCTGGCAATGGATTGGTCGAAATCTCTTCAAATAATTACTGCAGACAAGCAGGAAGAATGGAGTGTTTATGGCAAAAATGATAGTACACGGCGAAAATAACAGCTATGAATAATTAAAGAAGAGCATAGAGATAAGGCACGCGAGCAATATTGTAAATTACCCATATCGCTAACGCAGTAAACTCTAAAACATAATTCACTTTGCTAACTAAAACTAACTGCTGGCTGTCAGAGTCGTATTTATATGGCGTAACCTGGCCCTCTGGAAACTTTTGAGAAAATCCTTCCGACTGCTTCACAAGTACGTTTGTCAGGTTTGAGTTTCTGTTTCAGCTATTTTCAAAATTTAGACGTTGTTGGCTGAATCACATCTACAATTCTATGCAAGAAATTAGCTTATGCGTACTAAAATTAAAAATTCCGGAATATATTAGACAAATTAAAGAATTTTTTTTTAAATGACCATGTAATTTTGAATAATTAAATAAATTGGTATACCCGTTTCACATCGTAATCACATTATAATTAATATCTTAATCCGAAACACACATTATAAAGCGATTTCAAGTCAAATTTTTCAACTTAAGTTTTTTTTAAATCTCATTGCTTCTCAGACCGAAAATGTATTTAATAGTTAAGTTATTTGTATTTAATAGTCTGCAGGTATCATTCCTTTAATTTTTTATTCTCATCTTGCTGATATGAAGTAATGCTGTATGTCTCTGTTACAGGACGAATCAAGAATACAGAGCCATTGTCTTGGGAAGAAGCACCAAATCATATTTTGACAGTGGTGGCATATGATTGTGGAATGAAACGTTCTAAGCCTGCAACCGTCAATATAAAGGTGAACAGGGTTTGCCGCATAGGATGGAAAGGTATATATTACATACATTTGTGTTTATCACTTTATTATCCTTCAGCCTCAAATTTAGGTAGGTTACTTCTCTAACTCTCGATCTGTACATAGATGAAACCACAGGTCCGTGAGTAAAAGATCTGATTAAGAGTATTTAGAGCCGAAGGTAGAGGTTAGGCTAGCCTAAAAACCCGGACTACTGATTTTCTTCGTTTTTGTAAAAGAAAAATGCAGTTGTTAGAAGTTATAGGATGATTCGGGGCTTGTTCGCACCTAGATTTTGCGGGCCTAGGCAGAGCTGGTTTAAACATGAAGCAAAATAATCACATGCTTAAGGCATTCATAGAAATGGCACTACAGAAATTATTTATTTCCAGTTTTACCATGTAGTGCATAATGCAACTGAACCAAAACCGAGAGAGAAAAAACTGGAAAAAACATATGTAAATAATGTATGTGGGAGCACCAAAATCTTTTAAGTGCTTAGAGCCATTAAAAATCTTAATCTGGCCCTAGACCTGGGCAGTAATCAAGTCCTGGTTTGTACCCGTTTATTACATATTTCTGCAATTTTTATGCAAGTTTATAGTTCATGGCATAGCGATGCAAAATGAGATTTTACTCGAGCTCAGTTGTTGAAAATGAATTGATGCTGTGCAGAAGCAAAGGAAATAAGTTACCTTGTTGGGTCGTAAAAATGTTGTGCCAATAAGCTCATTCAGATTTCTTTTCCGGGTGATATTTTTTATATCATTTCGGTCGTTTGAAGATTATGACGATTCGTTGCATATACACGTCAAAACAAAAGGATCAACAGAAATGAATAATTTTTTTAGTTCAGCACATTGTTTTAAATGTAGCCTTGTTGCTGTGAATATTTTCTCTTGGGAACTGTGCATCCTGTTTACATCTTGCCAAGAACGACTTGCAAAATTGCAGAATTCTCTGAACGTAACTTTTCGGGACGGCACTTCAAAATGTAACGAACTTGTCATTTTGGAATTTCATCATGTCTATACGATGGCGATATCTGTACATCAGCGTTTGTTGCGTGTTGATGTTCTCGATCATACAGCAGTATTTCTGTGGATTTTCTGAACAGTTTCATCTCTTTTAAACTTATTTGTTACTTACACGTTGGCACATCAGTTTGAAATTCTTTCAAAAACTCTCTCTGGAATTCTGAATGGAAATTGTGTAAAGTAACTAACTGCTTTGAAATTCTGCATAAACTAATTTTCCTGTATTACTTGGTTTGCATGTCGCTTGAACTAGAATTGATGTTACCAGAGGTTCTCGAAAGTATTTGATAATCAATAATGATCTTCGAAGACAGAGCTTTTCAACCTTGGACAGCTTATTTCAGCTGTCCTAACTTAAAACTGCATTTTCAAACTTCCGATTGCACTTTAAGATGAATGTCTGTGTGTGTGTGTTTTTCGTAACTTAACATAATTCCAAATTCCGTCGTTTCAAATCACTAAGCCTCAAAGTAGGGAAAATTAATCAGTTTGTTAAAGTGTGTTTGCCTCTCTTTAGGAGGAGGTACTCTGTATTTACCGCCTGAAAATTTTAAGAGGATTAATGTTTCCAGGCGTATTACAGAATTTAATTTTAAAATTTCAAGAGGATTAAGGTTTCAGGGCGTATTTTAGAATTTGGTTTTTACAGTAGATCTCATAGCTGCAGGAAAATACTTTGTTCCTTAAATAAATGTTCATGTAAATGGCAAAAAATTCACATTTTCTCTGCACCTGTAATTGCCATGTATGGGATCCGCATAAATTTTTACTGTCACAGGGAACCAAGATTGATAGATTTTTCATTTATATTTAATGTTAATTGAAAATATTTCAAAAAATTCATGACAAAGCATTTAATTTTTGTAACTATGATTGTAGAAAAACTCTTCATTTTATTCACTTTGTTCTTGAAATTAGATTCCGTTTTATGTAAGCATTCAATTATATTACTCTTATGTTTATTATCAAAGCAAAAGCTGACTTAGATTCGACTGCTTTACATCTGTTTAAAATCTGTATTCTTACTCTCTTTTCAGACTTTCACGAACGAATCGAATATACTCCAGGCAGTGGGAGGAGACCTCTTTTCCCCCAGGCCCGGCTAGAATTGTGTGACGTGCCATGTAAATTGGAAAGGGTGGCAGCCAAAGTCTCACTCGCCACTCGACATATTGGCAAGGGATGTGACAGAGATACTTATTCTGTTGAATCCCAGAGGAAACTTTGTGGTAAGTCTGTTTGAAAATTGTGTTTTAAGTCACTGCATCTTTTTAATTCTTCTTAAACTGGTTTGCCTGTGTTACAGGATATATATGCTGCTTGAACAGGATTAATGTTGCTGATGTTCATAAAAATATTTGATAATTATCATCAGTCTCAAAAGATAAAGATTTTTAACCTTATTGGGCTTACTTCAGCTGGTACTCAGTGTATTAGGCAGTTTAAAAGTGTAAAGGAGCTGCAACTGAAATTGTAGACTTTTAAATCAGATTGGATTTTATGTAGATTTTTCAAGCGATTGAATGTTTCTACTTTTTGCGTTTTTAATTTTATATTTCTTACATTTCTTAAAATGATTAAATTTACTTTTACTAACAATTTAAAATTTTGGTAAAGTACCCCCCCCCCCCGAAAAGAATCAAGAAATTTTAGTACGTGTTTAATGAGGGGGTACAAAAATGGTTTGCGATGCTTATGTGCGATATGGTGCCTTTGTTAAAGTAAAAAAGAAACTAGGGCATCTTATTTGGTCGAATTTTAGATCTGTGAAACAGCAAAGAAATTTTTAAATTCTAGTTTTTTCTAACTCTGGTATTCAGAGTGTAAATTTTATTCATTGCTTCGTAATGTGGCGTTATATGTTTAATAGATATCGCCTTAATAACTACGCCAAATGAGCAAGAGGAAATTGAAAAATTATTGAAATAAATAGTAGATGTAGTAAGGTAACGTATGCATAACCAAGGAGAAAAACAAAGGTAGGGAAATTCTTAACATGTGAGAAGTATTGCAGATTATCAAAATCACTTGCAGGACAAATTCTAGAGCAGTTATCAACTGAACGAGATAATGTGTGGGAAAAAATTTGCAAACCTTGAACTAACTGTTAACTTGACTAGAAGAGAAACACGCTAATGTGACAATCAAAATCGTAAAAAACAACCTTATATTTAGCGTAGGTATAATGAAACACTCAATCGATTTCGAGGGCAGCTAAAGGTCCCTCCTCATCAGGAGAAAGAAATACATAGAAAGAAGAAAATAGGAATCACAGAAACACGTGGTGCTTATCAGCACTGCACATGGTTATAACTAGATTTTTAATCAGAGTTGCACTGGCCGCCTACTTTTACTGAGCCAGGCTGTCTGATCAAGCATAAAGAAATATTAGCGAAGTTAAAATAGGGAGCGAGGGGCAAATGCACATTACGCTCAAAATCTGAACTTCAAATAATGGAAAGCAACCACTGAACGGATTTTTATACCCTCTGGTAGTACCAAGTGCGAGGAGGTAACGCCATCTATCGGCAAAAATAATGAATTAAGACAGTAGAATTTTAAAGGCATTAGGAAGGACTGGATTGGACTTCAAATCATTAACTAAACTTTCTAAATCTTGTGAATGTGAAAAGCCTCAAGAAAATCCAATTCGCCTATGGAAGAAGCCTTTTGGATGATTTTTGCAGACCCAAAATCAAAATTATGGTTAAAAGTCCAGCTATGATACGCTATTGAAGACTTGTTAATTTCCCCTATTTTGACATAAGATTCATGTTCCTTGATACGAAACTTCAACGCTCTTTTTGTTTGGCCAATATATCTTAAACCACACTGACATGATATACTATAAATTCCCCAAGAATTCAAGACAGAAACGCAATCTTTTAGAATCGAAGGGTGAATTTTATTAATAGGGGAGAAACCGACTTGAAAATTGAATTTCTGGAGAATCCGTGCAATTTTATAGCTAACAGAAGGATAAAATGGAAGCACGACAAGGTCATTGATATTATTTCTAACAGTGGAATGTCTTCTTTGATGGGAATCTGAAAATTTTTTTTGACGGCTTTATCAATAATCACAGGAGAAAATCCACGGTCAATCGCAACTGCTCTCAAATAATTAAGTTCATTGGTAAGCAAAGATTCAGAGCTTCCGCGCGCTCAAAACTTTCAGCGCGCGGAAAACATAATAGTAAAAAGAAGCCATTTTTTGCTTAACAGGGTGGCATGACTTGGCATGGGGTGGTAAACAAACTGCAAAGGGTTTACGGTACACAGTGGTGCTAAAATCGGTTTCATTGCGGATTATAAGAATATCGAGGAAGGGGAGGGAATTGTTGGATTCAATTTCAAGAGTGAATTGGATGGCTGGATCAATTGAATTCATAATAGATAGAATCTCGGATAAATCCTCTTTATAACCGTCAAAAAGTGCGAAAGTGTCGTCAACATACCGAATCCAAAGACGAAAAGATAATTTATCAAATAATTTCATCTCAAAATAGTGCATATAAATGTCAGCTAGTACCGGACTGAGAGGATTACCCATAGCCAATCCTTCAACTTGACGAAAATATGCATTCTGGAAAACAAAGTGGGTTTGACTTAGAGAAACTTTAGTAAGTTGGTTTCGCTTACTAAAGTTTCTCTAAGTCAAACCCACTTTGTTTTCCAAAATGCATATTTTCGTCAAGTTGAAGGATTGGCTATGGGTAATCCTCTCAGTCCGGTACTAGCTGACATTTATATGCACTATTTTGAGATGAAATTATTTGATAAATTATCTTTTCGTCTTTGGATTCGGTATGTTGACGACACTTTCGCACTTTTTGACGGTTATAAAGAGGATTTATCCGAGATTCTATCTATTATGAATTCAATTGATCCAGCCATCCAATTCACTCTTGAAATTGAATCCAACAATTCCCTCCCCTTCCTCGATATTCTTATAATCCGCAATGAAACCGATTTTAGCACCACTGTGTACCGTAAACCCTTTGCAGTTTGTTTACCACCCCATGCCAAGTCATGCCACCCTGTTAAGCAAAAAATGGCTTCTTTTTACTATTATGTTTTCCGCGCGCTGAAAGTTTTGAGCGCGCGGAAGCTCTGAATCTTTGCTTACCAATGAACTTAATTATTTGAGAGCAGTTGCGATTTTGCGATTGACCGTGGATTTTCTCCTGTGATTATTGATAAAGCCGTCAAAAAAAATTTTCAGATTCCCATCAAAGAAGACATTCCACTGTTAGAAATAATATCAATGACCTTGTCGTGCTTCCATTTTATCCTTCGTTAGCTATAAAATTGCACGGATTCTCCAGAAATTCAATTTTCAAGTCGGTTTCTCCCCTATTAATAGAATTCACCCTTCGATTCTAAAAGATTGCGTTTCTGTCTTGAATTCTTGGGGAATTTATAGTATATCATGTCAGTGTGGTTTAAGATATATTGGCCAAACAAAAAGAGCGTTTGAAGTTTCGTATCAAGGAACATGAATCTTATGTCAAAAATAGGGGAAATTAACAAGTCTTCAATAGCGTATCATAGCTGGACTTTTAACCATAATTTTGATTTTGGGTCTGCAAAAATCATCCAAAAGGCTTCTTCCATAGGCGAATTGGATTTTCTTGAGGCTTTTCACATTCACAAAGATTTAGAAAGTTTAGTTAATGATTTGAAGTCCAATCCAGTCCTTCCTAATGCCTTTAAAATTCTACTGTCTTAATTCAATTATTTTTGCCGATAGATGGCGTTACCTCCTCGCACTTGGTACTACCAGAGGGTATAAAAAATCCGTTCAGTGGTTGCTTTCCATTATTTGAAGTTCAGATTTTGAGCGTAATGTGCATTTGCCCCTCGCTCCCTATTTTAACTTCGCTAATATTTCTTTATGCTTGATCAGACAGCCTGGCTCAGTAAAAGTAGGCGGCCAGTGCAACTCTGATTAAAAATCTAGTTATAACCATGTGCAGTGCTGATAAGCACCACGTGTTTCTGTGATTCCTATTTTCTTCTTTCTATGTATTTCTTTCTCCTGATGAGGAGGGACCTTTAGCTGCCCTCGAAATCGATTGAGTGTTTCATTATACCTACGCTAAATATAAGGTTGTTTTTTGCGATTTTGATTAACTGTTAACTTACTTATTTCCGATACCAATATAGTATTATGAGAGCGCAAGTCTATGGGCCGATTGGGCAATTACTCTCTCGGTAAAATAATACTTTATTGGCCAGTGACATTGCGGATCAATGAAATGAGTGCTCCCAAAGATGCAAATGGTGTGAGAAAAAGGAATAGAGACCTTTGTCTCGATATAGCGAGGACTTTGACAGATAGTTCCAGGTGTAGAAATTTAGTTTGCAACTATGAAATGAAAGAATGACGAATACCAACGCCACATTAGAGACAGGCAGAGCCTAGAAGTAAGAACAATCTATGTACAATATCAGATAAATGATGCATGCAGCCTATATTTATGCTTTTCTTAAGGTGGGGGGACTTCTGAAAGTTTCGAGAAAAACTCCTCTTAGGACTCTCCTTTCGAGGAAAATCTCTCCGAAAAATGCATTTTTCGGAATGTTGCCAAGTTGGCGATAAAATTTGTTTCCTGGACCCGGTAGGAGATTTTCTGCTATATTTCTGATTGTAATTGAGTTATCTTCACAACGTATAACTATCGATGCACAATTAAAAGATCTGCAACATACTGCATGAAAACTGAAGTAAAAAAATTTTAAGTAATAATTATCTGAAGAGGATTCAGAAATCTTTTAATGTCATTCAGGAAGATCTTCGGAAGCGTACTTTTGCTGTTTTCAGAGAATTTTTATTTTCCGTTTCGTATTTTCCCATAATCATTCAGTCTTTTGTGTGTACACGCCGATTTCTGAATTTTTTTAAACTATATTTCAGATTAAGTTTCAAATGATCAGCTGCAGCTGTTTTTAAGTCTGTTTTGCAATATGATATCCAAGAATACGAATACTTGATGTTTTCTTCCACTTGGCACTGTTTTTTACCCTGCTATATTGAAGTCAATTCTTTGTCTCTAGAGTATATAAATCTTGGATCTGTTAGCAGAAAATCGAGGTAATTGAAATCAATTTTTCCTGCAACGTAATCAGTGATAAACTGCATTGTTATCGAGCTCCCTCAGCGGAATAAAAATTCATATTGTATTTGTTTTCACAATTTATTCTAAAACTAGCAGAATTCTCATTTC